ATTTATAGGAAGAAGTTACAAGAATATAGTTTCAAGCTGTGCATGCCTTCCTGACGTAACATGCATTGTATATGCATTTTAGATTTCAAACTTCATTTTCCCTGTACTAATAGTTTTAAAGTATTCAGAGTCATATTACAAGAACATATGAAGCATAAGCATTTTTTATTAACATATATAATGAAAGTGACGTCAGCAAAAAGCGAAATTTGCTCTCAGAGATCGCAAAGGAAAATCAAGTGTGTATAAATTATATAATAACGGAGACAACGGGGTTCCTTAAGAGAAGTTCGCTTTAATTTTTTTTATAGATAATTTTGGACTGCGACCAAAAACTTTCTATTTGATAAAAAGGTAGCTGAAAGTTTTATTATTTGAACGGGAATATCATAAGCTTGGCATTTAACGATCTACCACCCCTTATGCCACCCCTTATCAAACACCTTAGAGTAATCACACAAGACCATTCCAATAGAATTCATTTCACTCACAGTTTTTTTAAAGTTTGAGAAACTTTTGCTAGCTGGAAATCAATTAAAAGATTTTCTTAAAGTCCGAAGTAGTTCTTTTAAATTATATCTTTAGACAAAACGGTAGTTACGAGTCTTGTCAATACTATTTTTTTGGTCTTTTACTTGAAGGTCTACAATTTGCCTATTGCGGGAAGGCAATTAGGGAAAGTACTCGTTATTATTGTTAACGGAAGACTTTTCCAACACATATTATTAATGCCATATAGTCAGATGGATGTTTATTTTACTAATAAAAATGATGATTTCTTTTTCATTTGTTGGAGGTAAGCTTTCAATTTCTATCATTGATAAAATATCAGTTATCATTTTATAACACAGAAAATAAAAATAGTAATAGAATGACAATCATTACGTGTGCACACTTGTTATATATGTAAGTGTAGATTTCTTTATCTCTTTCCCTGCATTACATACAACTGAATCAATTTTATATACTCTTTCCAAATTGGGCGCAAAAAGCAGCAGAAGAGGTGGTGAATAGAAGATATAAATAATAAAATTGAAAAACAAAAGACCAACGACATGCGATTACATGACGAGATTTATGACAGCCATCCTAGCCACAGAACAACTGAAAAATCGTTATAGTAAAAACAATCGAAACAGCCTTAGCAACTAAATGCCATCGCTACCAACAGACTGCATATAATAACAACAATAGCAATAGCAAAAGCAAAAGTAGAAGCAAGAGCAACAGAAACAAAAACAAAAAAACGAATCAGCATATATTTGCAAAAACAACTACATATATCGGTCAACATATATGTTGGTAATTGCAAGAACAACAATAACAATGCAATGCTCTTTGCTTGGCACTTGGATTCCTGCATATGACCACATAAGAATAGCTTCAGTTAGGTGCTTTTTTTGAGCAAAGAAAAATAAAAACAAATTTAAAACTGACCAACAAGCATTAAAACTTAGTTACACAAACAACAATAACAACAACACAAATGACAGACGTATTAAATAGAACAGTAATAATAACAACAACAAATACACCACTACCAGTTTTTGTGTTTGTTTGTGGGTTTTGTATATGCAAGCGTTATTTTTTTTTGCTTTAATGATTTTGCTTTTGGCAAGTTTGTTGTTACTTTTATGCCAAACAGCCTTAGTGGGTGTAAAGTGCAACAACAAAACATTTCAGACTTATGTTTCAGCATGTATCATAGTCTATATCATAATTTATTTAAAATAGAATTAATAGGTATACGACTGAATATCATGTACAAATTAGTTTTATTAAAAACTAAAGATACAGTATTTAAATTTTCTTATTAAAATCAATTGTACCTTGTGATCAAAAAAGAACTTATTCGTTTTTTTTTTTGAATTCCCACGCTTATCCAATCGGTAAATTTTTTTTATTTTCACGCTGGCTTCACACATTCTGTCAAAGTTTAACGCATATCGTACGATTAGTTTTTGTTTGGCGTCTATACAAAGAAGTCGAAAAATTTTCGTGTGGCGATTTTTAGCTGAATTTCATTCAAAAAAAGCGTCGTTGTGATGTGGCCAAAGAGATGATTTCCAACGCAGATAGTGACCTCACATTCATCGAACGCATCATAACTGGTAATGAGACATGGGTCTATGAATTTGACATGCCCACTAAACAACAATCGACCGAATGCTGCTTCGAAGGTGAGCCGAAACCGAAAAGAGAACGCCAAAGTCGGTCCAAAATCGAGGTTATGCTGCTATTTGTGGTGTGGTGCACTATGAATTCCTTCCGAACGGTCAAATGGTCAAACGGTCAGTAAGGAGTATTATTTGGCCACTATTCGTTGTTTGCATTAGGCGATTCGCAAAAAGAGGCTAGATTTATGGAAGGAAAACTCGGATTTTACACCACGATAACGCACCGGCTCACACAGCGTTGGTTGTGTTGCAATTTTTGGCCAATAACTCCACGAATATCATCAACCAAGCATCGTACTCTCCAGATATGGTCCCGTGTGACTTTTTCCTCTTCCCCCGACTCAAATTGCCATTGCGAGGACCATAGACGCGTTTTGAGACTATAGAGGCCGTAAAAGAGAATTCGCTGCATGAACTAAAGGCCATACCTTCGGCGGCCTATAAAACTTGTATGGAAAATTAGATGTATTGCCGCAGAAGGAGAGTACTTTGAAGGCGATAATAAAGAAAATTATTAAAAATTAAAATTTTGCGTTTTTTTTAACTTTTCGTTCTTTTTTGAACAAATGGTATATATTAATTTTAAGTGTGAAGCTGCAATACAGTTTGTAGCTTACCACAACTACATGTTATTGTTTATAATACAAAATATAATTTATGGAGCTAAACAATTTATACATAAATGTACTGATCTTGAGCTGTAAACTCCAGATGCAGCTGTGTAAACAAAGATTTGATAGAATAGAATTGATACTATGTATCAATCGTAATGGAATATTAAGATAAATGTATATAATGTAACTGTATATTTGAGGTACTTCATTTATATACATAACATATGTATGCGTGCTTTAGGAAATATTAAGAAGCCCATTTATTTATCAATATATTCTAATATTAACATTAATTCCAAATAATTCAAGCATAAACTAATAATTGAAAGCGATTTTATGTGTTAACATTTTTATTATCTCAAAATCTTGTCCTCCCCTTTATTATTTGTCCTTCACATACAGCATGATTACTGTATTTATGCAACAATGTTTGTTCTTTGTGAGAATTATTTTGCATACTAATTGAAATGCAGTTGAAATAATTTTCAAAGTTGCCACCTAGAAACTAAGTCCTTTCAAACAATATTATTAAGTTGTCACAAAGCTGTTTGAGAATGCACAACATGTGATTATGCAATTTAGTAATTACACATTTATTGGGCCAGCAGGTCTGCATGCTTTCCATTTAATTAACATTAAGGATGCATTCATTAGCGTGCAATATTTGATTACCTTAACGAGCCTTCAACGCCTAATATACATGCACACAAGCGTACATGTATATAATAAGCAAACCAACAACTGCTTGCCTACATTGATCACAATTAATTACGAACATTTAAGTATGTGTTTGTTTTGATACACACTTCAATTATTCCTCGCCCCGATTTAACTTCCATCGGCACGCACGTTGACTTTAAAGCTTACAACAGCGTCGCCGTCACCGTCACCATCGCCTTCAATATACGGCTTTTATTGTCATCGCATGTTAAGAATGTGAATTATTGTTTATAGCTCACTGTCTCGTATCTATGACAGATGCAGTTGAGTGCAGTGCATGTGCACTACTTTTCCAGAGTAAACTAATTATCTTTTCCCTTTAAATCATTGTACTCGCAAGAATAGGCTGGGACTGTAGTAAATCGTAGATCGCTGTATAGCCATACTTACTTCGTTGTAGCTAGGTGTTAGAATTTCAACACCAAAATTTTCGATTGGGGACTCCGAGAGCAATTTCTCAAAAGTGAAATTGATGTTATCATTACCCGATAGTAGTTTGGAGTAATGTTCCTTCCATAATTTCAGAATACTCTGCGTATTTGTAACCAGATTACCATTTTCGTCCTCAGAGGTTGATGCTCCATAAGACGGTTGACTTTTTGATAGAATTTACGGGCATCATTTCGTTTTTTTGTTCTCGTTTCTTCCATCTGAATAGGCGCCTCTCTACCTTCCTCATCTCTGGGTATTGCTTACCCAGACGGTGCGCGTAGCTGCAGGGTCCTTTTATAGGCCCTGCACCTTTTATCGCAGCAGTAGTTTGGCGACTCTCTTCGTCGTACCATTGGCATAGGGAGTGAGAGACATGTTCCCATTATCTACCGGCATTATCGGTTTTTCCTTTACCTAATGAGTAAGTCTGTATACTGGCTGCATACCGATTTAAATCTATGTTCAGTTATATCTGTTGCATTAAGTTTTTATTATTATGTTCCCTTATTTGATTTATTAGAAAAAAAGTGATCAAGTAAAGGAGTAAAAAATCAGCTGTTGTGTAAAAAGTTGGTTTGTGTACACAATAAATAAATTCAAATTGTGGAACAGTGGCTGGGAAGTTGGTTATTTGTTGTGAACAAAATGTCTGAGTTTTTTATCCATTTAACAAACTAAGTTAAATGCAGTTTTTATTCTAACAATGGTGTTCAAATAGAGTGTACACTCAAGCTAGTTTATTTTCTTAAAACTTACAAGACCGCCTTTTGACGAAAGAAATATCTTAAGTCCTGACAGCTCTTAAAAGAATTTGTACTCAGGAAAAATTATTATCAGCTTTTCTAAATCTTGTTATTTATTCATAGCAAAATAATTATATAAATATATAGAAAGTATGTGGACCCTGTGAACTTTTCGTAATAATCAAATCAAATTTCTTTCCTGTATTTGTGTTTTTTTAAAAAGAATCAAGATACCATGGATTCAATATGTATAGTAACTTGAGATTTTAAACTTCCATATTTTATATATCATAATTGTCAAGTAAAACTTCAAACAAAGTTTTGTACTTTCCAACACTGAATATCCCAGTGTCAAGCGTCACCTTTTTTGCTTTGAATAGTTCTTATGATAGCAGCATTTGTAACTTTTTGTGTAAACTTAATAAAAGGGCACTAAAAATGAACATGAGGTAAATCAATTTAATTAATTTTAATTTAATTGTTTTCATTTATTATAATTATTTAAAATTTTTAAAGGCTTTTTTTGCTTTGTTGTAAACATACAGTTCAACATATAGATTTTACTATAAATTATTCTATAATATAAAATACTTATTATGGATTATTTTAAACATATAGATAGTTCAATAAATTCAGTATACTGACTAACTCATTAATTTCCATTTAAATATGGCTCATTTCAAGCTAATTTCTAAAGTGATTGTGAAAAGTATACCAGTAAAAATTATATGTGGTATATACATAAATATAATAAATTTACAACACTTTCAGTGGCGAAACAGAAACATTTAACTCAGAATGTCCAATATGTCTTGAAGAGCCCCAAACTGCCATAGAGCTGCCTTGCAAACATCAGATGTGTCAAGAATGCTTCGATCATTTACGGAGGAACACTTGTAGTATGCGTTTTAATTGCACATTGTGCCGTAAGGTAATTGAAGTAGCGTATAAGGTGGGTATTATAACATTTCTTAATCAAAATGTATATTTATAAAACAACTTATATGTGGCAGACGGTAATAAAGAAAACAGAAGGAAATAATGTTATAAAAGAAAGAGTCATATATTATGATGCCAGGAAATGTCGTGTGCTTTTGAAAAAAGATTTTAAGTGAACTCGTAAAGCCGAAGCCTCTACGATTACAAAAACTAAAGAAAAAAAAAGATTAGAAAATGTTTAATTAATTAGTATTCCTGAGAAAACCCCAAACTAGCAATTAGAATCTTGTAAAACAAATGTTAGTTAAATATATAAAATACATAAAACTTTGTATATAATATTGAATTTTTTATTGTAATTATTTTGCTCGATAAATTTGCAGCAATAAATATCAATTTTCATACAAATCCATAAAAAGTCTATCCAAAAAGTTGTACATAATGTTAATAATTATAGTAATTGATAATCAGTTTCCAAACTCCAAGGATTCCAGAGAGGAAATAATGGAACAATAATGGTTTCCATAATTTTCAGTTTGAAAAGCAATGCTAGAACGTCATTTTAGGCGCGGTCAAAAATTTCTCTACATTACTTATTTTTATGTTTGGATCTAAAATACAGTTTTAGTGTGTCACGTTCGGAAAATAATATGATTATGCTACTAGAATGATGTGATCTGTCATCATGAATCACATACCACAACCATAAACTACATACCAAAACCATAAACCACAGACTTTGGAGTGACTTTTATGCTGCTCAAAATAATTGGGTACAGATCATAAGACGCTTATAAAGTGAGGAATGGCATATAAACTGATATTATATTATCTGTTTGATTTCCTGTCTGTAAAAATGTAATAGTCTATGGAGAGCTTTAATAATTACATGATTGATTGTTACTTTTTTGATTCAATTTACCATATTAAAAACCTGTTCACACCGCAAATCTGAATTTTGTATTAAATTTGTTTCTTATATTTTATAAGATATTTTATTTTTATTTTTTTATATGTCCAACGTTTCTGGAATAAATTAGAGGTATTCAGTAACTCAATAAAGCGGCAAATATTTCTGCCTCGACTATAGACTCGTTGGGAGGGCAAACGGACATTTAATCCTCAGTTACTATGAATATCCGTACCATTATTTGTGTTGAAGAAGACTTTGAGGTACAAGGCAGTAACTCCAATCTAACCTAGTCTACTACGAATATGTAAATGTAGTGGATGACGATATTAATGTATGTGTATCCAATTCACTATTTGCTGTTAGTGAAATTCTGGATTACACTGGCTTAATAAAAACTGAGGCGGTAATAAAACAACTTAATAAATTTGTTTAAAATAAATTTAAGCTCAACACAATATACCATTACTTTAAAGTGCTGAGGCATTTATAGCAAATATTGCTTTTTTTATTATTATTAAATTTAAATAAATTCCATTGCGTTATATATGAAAAAGTTAAATAAAATATTTAAAAATATTTGCGGTATTACCGCATAGGCAATTTGAAAATATTTTGTTGTAATTGAATTTTGCATAACAAATATAAAGTATCTTTTTCGGTAAACGCTTTCCACATATTTTTGGCCTTTCAAATGATGTTGCGTTGAACCTAAGCATTTTGTGGTTGCCCTCATTATTGTTCGGAAATTTATGCAAAATCAGCAAGTTATAAAATTTCCTGAAATACAATACGGACCCAACCATTTAAATAAAATGCTGTGAAAATTGAAGTAGATAGTCGGTAAGTAGGTGGGTAGGTAGGTAGGTGGGAAGGTGGGTAGGTTGGTGAATAGGTAGGTAGGTGGAAATTTGTGGATATATGAAAATGCGGTAACCTATTGCATATCGAGCACGTAAGGGTTTATGCAAATATAAACAAAAATATTTGCAGATATTTAGAGAAACATTTTAACAACAATAAACCTACTAAAAGTAAGACATACGTGTGAGATTCCCACCCAAAACGTTCGAATTCATGAACATTTTAACAACTTGTCTTCACATGTTATTCACACGGATTTTTCTTGTTATTGTCTTGTAACTATTTTAGTCTTATTTAAATATTTATAGATCGCCAGCAAGCAGTTGGAGTTTTAATCGCCGAAACCACTATTACCAATCAAAATTCGTAAAACTAATATCAGACACCAATTTAAATCGTTTATCATTTAATATTGATGATTTCGTAAAAGGAGAAAAAGTCCTTTAGGAGAAAAGGTGTTAGGAGCTACCTTCATGCTGTCTATTGAAATGAAAACTCTATATTTAGAGCAGTTGCTGACTTTGAGGTAATTATAAAATAGTATTTTTAGAAAAATTAAAAAAACTATTGCGTTTCTTTTTAAATATTTTAGAAATAATCATCATGTAAATAAAATAAAAATTTATAACTAAAATTAATTGAATTCATATTGCATATATTTAATTGCCATGGAAGAAATTCACGCTTGGGCAATTTACCAGGACTATTGTCATCGAAACTGCTTATAGGAATTTTTATCCTAGATCGGTAACTATTAAAGATGATATGAAATTAAACAGTGATAACTAAAGACGCTGTTTAAGACAATGTCTTAAAACACAACTAAATAAAATACTTAGGAGGGTATCTTGTATCGGTTAAAAAAAAATTGATTGGTTCGATACTACACTTTGGTAATGTTGCTGTTGTTGGTGTGACCAGAGAAGATCTATATTGCAAGGAATTACAATGAAAGGAATTACAAAATGTAAGTACCAGAGTTAGGAAATTAATTAGGAAACAGAGTGGTTGTTTGGGATTTTTGGAATGATTTGAGTGTGATGAATTTTAGTTGCAATTAGCTTTGTTTGAAGTGGAGAAATATTGCGGCTTCAATGCGTCGAAGTTAAAGCTCAATTGAGCTCGAATTGGTGTGAACATTTATGAGGCATAATGAACATAATAACATTTATGAGGCATAATGATGAGTAGAGCTGTAGTTAGGAAATTGGCGTGTTTATGTGTGATAAGTTGCTATACTAGTCTCAAAATCGTGTGTGGAGAATAAGTTTTAATAAATTTTTAAAAATAAGCTTCTTTGTGATTATAAGAAAACGTAGCTTTTTCGGCAAAACTAATTACCTTCAATAATTACTTTTGAAATATTTAATATAGAGTAAATTTAATTATTATTTTTTTAAATTTTATTTTAAAAATCAAATATAGTTAAAGTGTGCATTATGCCAAGAATGAATGTAGTTTGATTGATAACTATAAATTTTTATTACAATTTAGACAAACTAAGCATGTAACTTAATACATTTCTTTTATGTTAATTAAGTTTAATAATAAGTAAACATATTTTTTGAAAAATGTGTCTTACTATCCCAATTAGCAATATTAACTAACTATTTGGAAGTATGTAACTTAATACATTTCTCTTCTCTTATGTTATATACTAATTCTGTTTTATAATCAGTATATATGTGTATTTTTTGGAAAATGTGTCTTACTATCCCTATTAGCAATATTGCATTAAAGCAGTTTCATTGGAATCTGCCAAAAGTAATTACTTTTCATTCAACCAGGTTGATTGTAGTGCATTATTCTCACTATGCAGAATGTAACGAGAAAGTCGAACGACACTTATTCAAGCATATTAAAGCATATATCCAGAAAGGAGCTAATAAAAAGCGTACCACCGCAATTGTGTATTGAAGTAGCACTCAAAATTTTGGGCATATCCGACTGATGCGACCTGTGAAATGCGATTCGTATGTGAAATAATATTTTCTCACGTGAAGTTGTGATTGTGTGAGCTTTTGTTTACTTGTATGCTGTGGTACAATTTGTTAAAGTGCTGAGTTGTTGTTGTTGCTATTCTTATGCCAGCAATAGTTGTTGTAATATATTTGTTTACACATTGTCCCCTTTGTTGCTATTACTGCTTCTCAGCTCTTTCGCTTTACAGCATGTTTAAGTCATTTTTTTTTCACCTTTACTGAGTAGACGTCTTCGTCGTTATTCACCACGCCATTGTTAACGTTATGATGCTTGTTATGTGCTGCAGGGAAATTGCAAAAGATTTTTTGGCATATTGATGCTTATACACATGAACACACGCACACACTCTCACACACTCACACATCCAAATTCATAAAATAATTCAAAAAAGCAGTGTAGCATGTGCTTCCATTTTTTCGCAAAATTTTTCTTTGTGCTGAAATAAATTTTATTTTATATTATTTTATAATATCTATAAGCTTATACATGTAGGGGAGAGAAAAAAAGTATTTTTGAAAAGAAATTCCTACGATATATAGTACGACAGATATGCCGATTTTAAATGAAATCACACAACAACAACAAATAAAAAACCCTCACATATTCACGAAAGTAATAAATCGTATCTGTTTACGCACAAAAAATCTCACGGACTTAAGTGTTAAACGTGAACACGTTTAAACGCATAAACGCATGTACGCATACACGCATTCCTTCATAAATCTGTATTCAATTAAAGTGTCAATGCCTGAAGTGAAAAATCGATTTCCACGCAATTCAATAACAAAAGTAATTCAATTTCACATTAAAAATGCATAAAATACGTTAAAAAATGATAAAAAAATTTGAAAAATTCGTGGAATTCAGTAACGAAATATTTCTGTCAACAAGTTGGCAATTGAGTTGAGTGCGAACTCCTAACGAATTTTGGAAAATATTTAAGCCACAAAAGCAACAGATTTAGTGATTATTTTATTTATATATTTAGCTTATATTTAAAATTTATATATAATTTATATATATATATAAATATATATACATATACATATACATGTAATAATAATATCTATACGCGTGCGGGCTTTTCAGTTTATTTTTCTTTTATTCAATTATAATTAGATATACAGAAAATATATATATATATATTATACATATATATATATATATATATATACATTGTGACCGAAAAGTTTTCGGGCACAATGTACAAAACGCAAAATTCTTAATCTTCATCAATATTTATTTTATCTCCTTCAAAATATGCTCCATTAGAAGCAATACACAAATGCCAACGTTTCTTCCAATCATCAAAACATTTTTTATAGGCGCTTTCCGGTATGGCTTTGAGTTCCCTCTGCGAATTCTGTTTTTCGTCTTCTATGGATTCAAAACGCGTTCCTCTGAGTGGTAATTTGAGTTTGGGAAACAGGAAAAAGTCACACGGTGCAAGATCAGGTGAATACGGTGGCTGTTTGATGGTATTTATTGAATGTTTGGCCTTAAAA